GAATGCGACGTCCGAGACCCCACTGGAATAGCTGCACCCCCCCTGGGGAAGCGCTCGAGCCGCGTCAGAGTAGCCTAGGAAAAGCAGTGAAAGCAGGGCTGAGCAACCAAGTAATGTCTTCAATTAGGAGAGGCATATTAAGCTTTAAAAAACAAAGACAAATTTGGCTTTTAAAGAATACAAGGTAAGATGAAGCAGGGGAAAAAAAAAAAAAACCAAACCACCTAAAAACCCCACCAAAACAAACTTTGAGAACTTGTTTGGAGAGGGGTAAGTTGGCCACTGCCAGCGTAACCCAGCTGCAGCACCATCGCCCACCTTCAGGAAAGCCCGGCAGTGCCTTTAAGATGGTGAGCGTGTGACTGCAGCAGCACCAGCCAGCTGAAAATTATTACAATACCAAACACAGAATTCCTGTACACAGCAGAGCATTACCTGTGGTTTTGTTAAAGTCAGAGCATCACGCAGAGAGAGCAGACTTGAGCTTCGGGCCAGGCTCTGTGAGTCCGAAGACGCGGTGCTGACTAGGTCATCCAGTGCATCGACCTGTCGCTTCAAGCTGTGAAGGCTGCCTTCCGTTTGCTGTTTTCCTCTGATTAAAACTTCGACTTGCTTGGACATGCACTGCCGGAGCTGAGCCTAAATACATCGTACGTTCTATTTATATCCAGGTAGGGTAATTTTCACAACTGTATTTAAAAAGTCCGATGACCTTAATGTCACACTGTAAGGGATGTAACGTTAAGAGTCTCAAACCACGAGCAGATGGCAGTGGGTTTGCAAATTATTTTTCAATAGTTCACCTCCTCTCAGGTCAGAAAGCAGCTCCATTTTTATGGCCTTTACCATGAACTGCTTGACGAGAGCGTAACAGCCCCCTGCAAACTAAACTTGGCCATCACCCGTACTTAAAGCGATCACGGGGGCTCCTGACCCAGCGTTTGTCACGTATGCCATAGTATGATGTAAACGAGGGAACCTTGTTGGAATACTCAGAAATCCAATTAACTGTTAATTAAAATTATTCAACTTGATACAGCATGCAGTCACTAGGCTTTCTTTCCCTGTCCCCACCCAAAGATGGGCCGTAGCTGGTCAGTACGGAGAGGGTGGATAGGCCAGAGCTGGAGGAGGATCCCCCGCGCCCCTGGGTGTTTGGATTATCTCTAGAAGGGACCCGGGGGGCGTATTAGCACGAGTGGGAAGAGATGTGGCACCTTCAGCCGATCTTCACGATGCTGCAGTTTCTCTCGGAGAGCCTCTCCACGCCATTGTTCATCCTTTTGGAAACAAAAGCACATTCAGGAAGGGAGCTACAGCTAAAGGTACCAACCCTGACTGCTGGAGCGCAAGCAGCACTTCTGGAAAGCGTTTTACCATCAAGAAGACTTTAGAAAAATTCAGCTTCTCTTCCAACGAGAGGAGTCTTTTGTCAGCAGCAGCAAACGAATCGTCCTCCTCTAAGTTCTCGGATTCACACTGCAGACTTCCCTTTTCTTCAGAAGATGCTTCCAAATCTTCCAACCGTTCCAGAGAGGGTGGGCGTGAAGATTTAAACCCCATCCTAATTTCATCTTCAACCTCCACTTTAAGCAACGTTGCTGCGTTCTGTATTTCCCTTTGTCTCTTTTCCAGGTCTTCCTGAGTTTTAACCTGCATCATAGAACAGTCCCACCGTTTTGCTGTCACATTACAAATGCATCGATCCGCAGGGATTTTCCAGCACAACCGAAAAAGGGTTATTTCTGAGATGTTTACGGCTTGACTTCTGCAATCAGAAGTCACACAACCTCTGGGCAGATGCAGCCCCAATTCTGAGGTTAACGTTGCCTGTGAGGCCCCTCACATGGTGATAGGGGCAACTGAAGTTGTCAAGACACAACTTACTAACTTAAAGCTCTTCGTACTTTGGTCTTGCACAGGCTCCTTGAATGCTTTCCAGCTGCTAACACCACCCTTCTCTGAAGGACCCTATTTTTAAAGGACTTAGAAACAATTTATGAAGGATTTATTAAAGGACGAGAAGGAGTCAGACAACACTGAATCACCTTTTAATTTAAAGCAAGTATCAAAAGAAGGAAATGCTGGCCCAGGTTAGCACTGATGAGCTGTGAAGAGCCTACTGAGTAGCTTTGAACTTTGATAATGTTTAGTGATTTGCATAAATTCTGACTCCAGATATGCCAAGTTCCTATTATCAAACCTTAACACAAAACAGGAGCCGGAGTCCTAATTCCTGACTGAAGCATTGCCTGGACAGAGCTGACAGCAAGTGTTACGGTGCCTTTGCTACATCTCTCGGGAGCACCCAAATCCAATTACTCTTAACGAGTAGCTAGGACTAGCACCTTCCTCAGCCCACCTCCGCGGAACACGGTCTCTTTTTCAGGCATCATTTTACGGGGCGAGAGGGGTTGATCCCTCTGAGCAGGCCCAAACAGTGCCTGTAACGCACTGTGCAGCTGTGCCACCCTGCCACGGCCTTCCAGAGCTGAAGAACTGAAATACCGCGTTAGAGCTCGCAGTCCTACTCTGAGAACTCAGTACACGACTGACTTGCTGGAGTTGGTTTGTTCTTTTTTAAGCCGGGATTACTGAGCTGCCCCATCCTACTGATCGTTCAAACAAAGCTTAACTTCTCCCAGATTTGGGAAAAACCACACAGCAATTTTAAGCAGGTCTATTTCTAATTGCGATACAGCGGACAGGAGAAGATTCAAAACCAATGAAATATAAACTTGTCTGGAAGATCCAGCTTTCCCTCAAGCCCGCCCCTCAGTTATACCTGGGTTTGGAGATCCGTATAATCCTGCTGGATCTGGCCAAGGTCCTTCATAAGGCGCTTGGCTCGTTCGTGGTGGTTGTGTGCTACTTGCTCGGCAGCTGCTACATTGCTCTGCAAACAGTTATTTTCATGCTTTTGTTCCTAGGAAAATGCAGAAAGATTGCCTTTTACTGTCGGCATCCACTGCTGAAAAATGAATCAAGAGAACCCACATCATTTCAGTTAAAAGGCAGAAACAGCATTAGACAGGAATAACTACAGAGGTGTTCTGTAGCACAATCCAGAAATACCAGCGTTTGGTTGCCTCAAGTTCTGTCCAGGCATGAAGTTAATGCATTGCTTTGTTCTTCCTACAATAAAAACGGGTGTTCTACCACCAATTCGCTATTTAAAAGTAACCCAAATCCCCAAACGTTCTCCTCTCAGCCAGGTCTTACATGTAATTTTCTTTCAAGCTGCATCCTTTGCATCTTCATTGCTTCTTTCAGACTCAAGATTTGTTTTTCGGCTTTTTTCCTCTCTGATGCTATCTGATCTTGGAGATGGTTTAGCTCCAACTTGGAGACTTCCAGTTCTTTTTGAAGAGACTGCATTTCTCTGTTTTTTTGTTGCAATTGTAATTCTTTTTCCGAGAGCTGATGTTCTGTAATCAACATTTTTTTAAAAAAATCCTGATTAGCAGAAATGTAAGTGTCTTGGCATATTTCATACCCATGAGGTATTTTTCAAACACAGGAATGTGCCGGGCGATGGTTTGTAAAAACAGACACAGGGTGAGAGGGGACGGAACACCCAAGCTTTACAATTTCAGTTCTCTGAGCAAGTCAATTTAAGGATTGAGAGTCAATCCAGGTGCTGCATTAGAAACCAAGTGAGATTAACAGAAATACAAATGGTTTCATTAGACTGAGAACCCATAAATGGTAACGATTTATTTGTGCAAGGAATCTTACTGCTTTTTCTGACGGTTTCTTCAAGCGCTGCACATCGGGACTCCTCCTTTTCCAGCTTCCTGAGGTTTTCTTCTACCAGCCTTACTTTGGCTGTTGCCTGTTCCAGTTTCTTTTGTTGATCCGTTAGTTCCTTTTCCAATAGTCTTTTCTGATCTTTCACTTTAGCAGTGCATTCTTCCAGTTTTTTTCCTTCACGCTCTGAATTTTGCTTGAGGCGATGAAGAATCTGCCAAAAACACCACCACTTCAGGCTTTAAACTGGTACCAACTCAATGAGAACAAATACCATCACCAAAAGACGCTGTAGAAGGTAAAGCAGCATGAAGTGCAAAGAGCTGCAGCCTAATGCTCCCTACTGACAAAAACCATTCATCAACTTTTCTTGCCTCTCATTTTCAGTACCACTCCCCCTGGTCTTTCTTTTGGCCAACACTTTGTCGACACTGCTCAGCCAATGTAAGTTAATATTACTACAGGAATATATGATTAAGCCCTAATTTTCATGAGGGGCTGATAGGCTTTGCACAGAAATACCGTAGCACAGAAGAACACAAGCCAGCTGCCAATAGCAATCCACTCAAAATCAAAAGGAAACTTCAGGATAAAAAAGCCCTGGAATTTTTTCTGCTTAGTTTTGGAATTACGGAGTGCAGCTGGAGTTAAGTTTTGATTAGTTTCATCTGAAATCCTGTGTATCATTTCAGGTACATGACATAGTTTGCCCATCTCCCAAGAGATATCAACAGCATGGGAAGAAGTTCTCTGAACAGTATCTTGGCAGCTGATAAAAACAGAGTTACAGAGAATAATCGGCACTAGTCCATCTCCTCAGCCACACCAGCAGCCAAGATACCACAGGGCCGAGCGCCCTCCGCTCCGCTCGCCCTTCCTGCACTCACTGCTCTGCGCTGATTTTACAGCAGTTTTGTTCTCAGTTCAGTATAAGGTGACACTGCCAAGGAAGACACAGTCCTTTGTTGTGACACAGTGGTTTTCACTAAAGCATAACTGAATGTTAAGGCTTTTTGTTTAACGCTATTCCCCTAAAAATGAGGCTTCATGTTTCTTAAAGCACTGGTACATTATTACTAAACTTGCACCCAAAACTTTTGAGCCTGCATTATTTTTAGGGGTCAGGTGAAAGCGAGGCAAGTCGGCGGGCTCATTACCGCTTCTTGCTTGGCTAGTTCTGCTTCCTTCTCTTCGATCTCTTTCTGGAGCTGCTGCAGTTGGTTCTCCCTCTTTTTGTGTCTCTCTTGGCAATCCTTACGTTTCCTTAAATACTCTAGGATATCTTCTTTCAGGGTTGCCTGCTCTCTAAGCAACTCATCCTGATGCCTTGTATTATTTTTCAAATCCTGCAATATAAAACAAAATCAGGTGACACAACCAGCTGGTGAGAGTAACAGCGCTCTGGCTGGAAGGCCTACATCTGAAAGAACATAACTTATCGCCCCAACCACACCGAAGATTATGTTCCATTTAAACCAAGCACTGAGTGAATTAACACAATAGGAACCACCAGATGAAAAGCCAGAAGATGCTGGGTTTGGTTTGTTTGTTTTTTAAAAAAGGATCTTCTTCCTATACAACAATAAACCAGGGTGATTTTGCCTCCGTATTCTGGATTGTTTTCTAGAAAGAAGTTGTTAAATTCAAAACCAAAAAAAAAAAAAAATCCACCAAAAAACCCCCCAAAGCCCCCATCAAACCAAACAACCCAAGAATAAAACCAAAAAGCGCCACACGCTCCTAACAATCTGACTAGGAGAGTCATCCCAGTTGCCACTTAAACAGAAGACCCAAACCAGAAGTCTTGTTTGGTTAGGTACCTAGCGTAGGTCAAACCCCTCCAAACTCAGCAAGAACGAGGCACTAAACGAGCCGTTGGTTATCAGCTCTGCAAGCGTCTGCTTTGGAGCTAGCGTGCCTAGATGAAACACAGCTGATGGCCTGCCCGTTTGGTAAGTGACACCCCTGTGTCCGTGCAACAAGCTACTTGCCACGCGAAAATAAGTATGCGTTTCACCAAAACTCACCTGTTCTACCAGTTGAAGCTGTTGCCTGGAATCATTTAATTCTCCTTTCAGCGTTTCTAGTTCTTCCTTTTTTTCTAGAAAAATATTTGGCGACAGAGATTGTCAGTCAGCCATGTGAAATACCTACACAAATGAATTCTCTTTTCATAAATGAATAAACAATAGAAAAGCAGTTTCTAGAAGTTCGATCCTTTTTGACATGTTAAATAACTTCTGCCTGTAGATAACTGAGCATGTTGGATAATTAATATCATGCAGTACAGTTACAGTGTCTTTTAACACAAGAACTCTTAAAATGTATTACAGCTTAAAACCAAAAATTGATCTTTACCTCGAAGATCCTTCTGTACCACAATAATGTCTCCATTCAGTGATTTCTTTTGTTTGTTCAGTAGATCGACCTCCTGCTGCAGGTTTTTAATATCCAATTCCATTTTTTCCATGTTGGACAAAGCAGTTCTGCTGCTATCTTCAGTAGCAGTTAAGTCTCTGTAAAATGTGAATACATTTTCTCAGTTTGTTGAAAGGACTTGGTGAGGACTCTAAGAAACAGCTGGATTTCAGTAAAAGTTTTCTCAGCTCAAGGGGATGATGCTACCTAGCAGTCGTGAGAGCAAGACAGCTGTCCTGTTCGAAGACTTTAACATTTTGCTTCTCAGAATGTTTCTCATTGCATTGCCATGGGGTGAGAAACGCTGTTGCATTCATCAGCTTCATTGCTGAGCACTTTCTGTAAGTCTGCTGTAGACATGCTTAAAATAAAGCCTCCACAGCATTTAAGGAACGGCCTATTCTGTATAATTGGGCACTTCAGAGTTCTAGCTATACTTTTAATTATGATGAACAGACATTCAAGGCACTTCCCATCACTTCTGATCTTTGCAGAAAAAAAAAAAAGTGTTCCCTCCCACCTTCTGGTTTGTGACAACTTATTTTCCAAACTCTGACAGTCTTCTTCAAGCTTTTCCTTTTCTTTATTCAAAGACTCAATATTATTTTGCAGAGTACGCAGTTGAGAAACCAGATGTTCATTTTCCTGACGGTCTTTCTCAAGTAGTTGTTCCTGCCAGTCTACTTCCCCTTGCTGACACTGAAATAATCGCTGAATATTCTCCAGTTTTAACTTCTCCTACAAAAGGAGGCATTGTGCACAACACATTTATACGGTCAAGGAGTAGAACAAGTTATTAACATCTTTAGCTGCAGCAGTTTTAAAAGCTTTCATTCACAGAGATTGCACACAGGCTAGAGTACCCTCTGTCACTACTGCAAGATAGCAGGGATAACTGCTTGAAGTGCCAGCTTAATTTGAGTGTATTTATGATGATGGTTACAACAATTATGAGCATGAGGACTGGGAGATAGGGGTGCCATTCTTTGTTCCATCATAGTTTAACCACCATTTTTCTCCCCTCCTTTCTTCGTGGGGATTTTGAGCGAATGACCACGTGAAGGGCTGCAAGATACTCAGGTAATGCAGTAAGGTGACCGCTTTCAGCATGGCAATAGAAGGGTACCGAGCACGTCAACTAGTCCCTTCTTTTCCATGTCCTTCACAGAAAGAGTACAGAGAGAAGAGGTAAAGTCTTTTAAAGGTAAGCAGCAGGTAATATCTGCTTATATGTGCCTGTAAACGCTCTCTTAGCAAACGCATGTTAGATTTTCTGGAATGACACAGCTAAGTAAAGGAGGGCTATCCCAGACTCTGACCTAACGATCCTGTGGCTACCATGAGACTGGCAAAGGGATGCCGCTGATCTCTCTGCCTGCAAAGTTGAATGTCTGTATTTGTCAAGAAGAGACGAGCTGAGCTAAAATACCTTTTTAATGGTAAAGAAGATCCAGCTCAGATAGTAAACTGTCTTCCATACTTCCTCTATGCAAGTGAGGACATGGATGGAATCCAGATAAAAAGACCGTGGAAGCTAATGCTAAGAGAACAGCATTCATCATTCTCCAGCCACAGAAGAGCCTTCTGTCTTTTTGCCTGCTCTCCCTCACATGCACCAACACCCCCCACCCTGCCCCCCCTGTTATTTTAAAGGGCCTAAGCAGACTTTTCTGTGATAAGCTGAAATGAGACCAGGAACGGATTGATTTAAAAGTGTAGGGACTCTGTTACCCAGATCTTAACAGAACCACAGAATATGCATATCTAGTCTTCCAGTGACTGTATTGGCTACAGAAGAAATACTTACTTCTAGAATTGCAACCTGAGTCTTTTCTAGCTCATTAACCTTTTGGTCATGTTGCAGTTTCAAACCTCGAAGTTCATTATTTTCAAGCTCCAGCGTTTCCAGAACATGTTTCAGTTCTAGCAAGATGAAAGAAATAAAATGTTATTACAAGCACATCGAGTGCATTCTATTTGCAAAAAAAGGCACCAAGGAAAAATTAAGAGATACTGTATTGATATTAGCCCTGTAAAAACTCCTCCTGTTTTCAACTGCTGTCAGAGGCACCAGGTATTACACCTGATGCTGTTCTACCAGCAAGTCGCAGGTCCCTGGATGTCCTGCTCTTCCTGCTCCCTTGGGAGTTATTCTGGGACAGAGTATCTGACTGATAAAACAATGAAAGGAAATATTTCAGAATGAGTACAAAATTTGCAAAGTGCCGCTGCTTATGCTTTCTGCAATCTGACAGGATGTAACGGCTTGGAAGGAGATTCCTCCATTTCCCTGCAGATCCTGATGTTCAATTCTTCTTCTGTGAATGCGGCACAACTAGCTCATGTCTCCTAACCACACAGCGCGTGAGGGTGAACTTTACTGATGAGTCCTGACGGCAGATTTGTTTCCATTTCTCTCTGGCATGAAAACCTCTCATCCCAAATACAAAGCAGCCGGAAGCACTGCCTCAACTTAAGCAAAGGGAATCAGCCAGCTCTGTATAAACTACTGGAATTACAGGGAACTCTTCCTCTGCAGTCGTTCACAATATTTTAAAAGGAGTGAGGAACAGAAGACCGCAGTTACGTACAACTAAGAGCTCAGAGTGTATTTCTTTTCAATCCGCACAAAACACTTACCTAGTAAAGCCAGGGACATACCTATCTTATGCTTGGTAATTTGCCCAAGTATTCCTTGAAGATTTTCTTCCTCTTTTCCAATATCCTTCTTTATGAATGAAAGCTGGGCTCTTTTCTCATTAATCTGGACATCCAGTTCTTTCCTCTCACCATTAAGCTCCTCCAGAAGTAGTTTTATTTCCTGTGGAAATATATTGGTGTTAGAAGGAATGCCATTACATGCCATTGTAAATAAAGTTCTCCTTTAAATAGAAGTTCTAAATATTTATAAAATTTAAAAAGTCTGTCACCAGTATTCCAGTCAATTTAATTCCAGAGTTTATAGCTACAGTCAATGGTGTAAACAAACAAAAAATACCACATATTTAGGTTAAAGTCTTGCTTGTTGACAATTTCTAGTAGCAATCTTGCAAAGATTTTAATCCACAAGTCTGACCAGAGCACAGTCATTCAAGTGAACAACAGGCAGGCCTTAAACCAGGAATAAAACAAAAAGGAAGTACAGAATCCTTTCTAAGTAAATGGGGATGGAGACAGCTGACTTACACCAGCTTTGTTGTGTTTTACACACGCTGATCAGACTGATTTGCTCTAGAAGCTGCTTGTCTCAGCAGCAGTGAGTCATGCAGAGACTTCTATTTAATGTAATTTAGTTCTCAAGGGACCAATCCTGTAAGTATTACTGGAACTAGGGAGTTCTACTTCTTATTTGTGCCTCTGGACCAAGCTCTGAGCCACACAAAACCGTAAACATGCTTGTTCTATTTTTCAGTGGGTTTTGGGAGGTTGTAGAAAGCAAAATTGATTTTGTGCAGACTTTATGGGATGGTTTTGATACTTCTATTCTTTTGCTGTTCTTCAGAGATACAATGTATTGAAAACTCATTTGGAAAAGTTACTCTTATCTGGCGTAGTTTTTCATTTGCTTCCGTCTCTCCATCTCGAAGAGCTTCTTTGAGGTCACCTTTCTTTTGAGAAATACAGTCTTGAAGGACATGGAGCTCTTCTTTTCTTTGATTTAACTGTTGCTCCAGAAACAAGAGCTCTTGTTGCTGAGCAGTAATCTACAAGGTAGAAGTTTAACAGAAGAAGTGTCTGAAGGTTTTTATTTTTGTGGCTACACACATGCACAACAACAAGTGCAGGACATTGTTCCCTGACAGAGATTTGAGTTGTATAACGTGTAAGGATCCCACCAGGGCAATGAGCTGCATTTGCTAAACCTGTGTAATACAGCCAGTACTAAAGACTAAGGTCTGATCTGGACAGTGCAGTCCTGCACCTCAGAGAGTTAAGTTTCTTATTCTGAAATGCAGTAAGAATTGTCATCGAGAACTCTGCAGTCACATTTATTATGCAGAATCGCCAGCGAGATTGGGATCATACTTGTTATTGAGACAAAACAAGGAGAATTCAAATTACCAACATTAAAATAAACTTAAGAATGAAATTCTTCAGACAAGGCAGTTCAGAACTTAAAGATTCTTCTCAGGTTTGTTACCTCAAAACCAATAAAATTGATAGTCCAGAGTTAGTAAGATAAGCCCTACCTGATCTTTTAATCTTTCCAGTTCAGTTTTCTTGCCGTGAAGAAGGTTTTCTGCTTCTCTAAGGATTTGGAGGTGATGTTCTTCATTACCTTCTGCAACTTTAATATCTCCTTGAAGCTTCTGAAGACTGACAGTGAGGATGAACACATGACTCAGAATAAACAAGAATACTTTAGGCAGTAACTTACCAGAGAAGGACATCTTTATTTTATCTAATACAGTTTATGGTAAATTAAAAATACTTACCTTTCAGTTAGCATTTCTATCTTCTGGTTTAACGACTGGAACTCAGAGTCTCTTGCAGCCACCATTTGGTTGATTTCCTTCAAAATACCTTCTTGTTCCCTCTTATGCTGTTCTAAATCCCTTGTATCTGCCTGTAATAACCTAAAGAAGCATTTACGCCTTTTATTATTAACATTTTAACAGTCCTCCCTCTCCAAAACCACTGTCTTGATATTTGAAAGCATCTTGTTCTCCTCATCCCCATTTGATACAAACTGACAAGAACAGCGTACCTTAATTGCTGATCTGCTTTCACAAGTTTAATGGCCACTTCCTGAGCCCTTCGCTCTAGTTCCTTTGCCTCAGTTTCGGTATAGGACAAATGCTGTTTGGCATGATTGTACTTCTGAATAGTGTCTTTAGTCTAGAGCAAAAATTGAAGATTTTCGAGACAAAACATTTCCATCTTACGCTTTCCACATCCGTAACCCTGCCGGTTAGCTGTCTAAAGATGACCTCCTCCTAGCTTGAATATCCCACCTGAGCTTTCTCCCTTCGTATACCATGAAGTAGAACCTTTTCTCCTCTCTTGTCTAGAACAGAAAAGCTTCCTCCTCTTTGGCAAGGACTGAAACATTTTCTTTTAGCAAGGTGACATATTTTCCAAATAGAAGCATTTTAAAAGGCTTCAGGTTATCCAAGTGAAAATAAACTGCTTAGTCAAACAAAAATCCTCAGCTTAAAACAATCTTAACACAACAAGCAAGTTCTTCTGCATTTCGAGTTACAGCTTTACTTACTTTCCCCCGTGTGCTCTCAAGTTCCACTTCAGCTTCTGAAAGTAGCCTATCTGCCTCTCTAAGCTCTGCTCGTCGTTTCAGAAGAGTCTTCTCTATACATTCAATTTCATCTGCAATATCTTCATGATGTTTCAGAGATTTTTCTAGCTGCAATTCTGCAATAAGGTTGTCAGTATACCCTTCAATGAAGTCCCTACAGGTCAGGAAGAAAGACACGGAATTAAAATACAAAATTCCAGAGGCCCAGAGCCTCTTGAAGTGCTAGTCCATTACGAATACTGTACAGCCAAGAACATTAATTGTAAACAAGTCAAAATTAACTTTTTCTGGAAAAAAGTTCAGGTATTTCCACACGCTTACTTTAAATGCATTCTAATGCAATATTCTTACTTGTGTTTGTTATGTTTTTGAGCTGCTCTTCGTAGCTCTGCTACTTCTTGTTCCAACTCTTCTCTTTCTTGCACGAGTTCTTCAATGTTTTGATGCAATTTTTCCACCTCTTTTTTGCATTTATGCTCAGCTGCTTCTGACAATTTATCTTTGTATTTCTGAGACTTTAAATAATACACAGTGTCTTCTAGCCTTGAGACTTCACTCTCCTACATACAGGAAAGAGAACAACAAAATCAAGACCTATTTTCTACGTCAGTCTTCCTGAGACACAAGGAGCAGCTACAGATAGCAAAGACTGGACTGTTAACACTGAAGACAGAGCATTCTTATCAGATCCAGAACCTTCCTAGCAGACTTTTTTATTTTTGTGTAAAACCAGACTACCCAATCTGTGATAATGAGGCTTTGCTTTTTGCTTTTTTTTTGAGAAAGCATATGTTATAAAGATGCTCCTCCTCCATTCCTAAGTCAGTTGCCTATGGTTAAACCTGCAGCTTACAGCTCTGCACCTTACCAAATCGTGATGTTCAGGCACATTGCAGTGAAGCACTCCAAGAGGAATGAGCGGGACAGTGAAGTTTGGAGGAAGAGGGCCATAAACAACTTGGGCTCCCACAGGAGGCGGGCCGTAGATAACAGACCCAGGAGCAACTGAACCTCCGCTTGCTGCTGCAGGAGGAGGGCCATAAACCACGGTTCCCTGAGGTACAGGAGCACCGTCTGGAAGGACTGTGTAAATAACTGTCCCAGGTGGTGGCACAAAAGGAGGGTCTTTGGCAACACGAGTTTCTTCATTTCCTTCACTATCTTCTTTTGCTCTTCTATCTTTACCAAAAAGAAGAAAAAGAAAAAAAAAAAAAAAAAAAAAAAAAAAAAAGATATTTTTAATCACTTTTTCAGTAAAATGTATTTTTCAAATGCACATTTTAAAATCACACACATTCTATGTAATGTACAAAAATGTAACAAACACTGCTTAAACTGAATAACGACTTCATCAGTAATAAACATTTACAATTCACTCATGCACATCGAAAAAATCCACTATGAGCCCTAAGCAAGTCCATCGTCAGTATGCTCCTTAAAATTTTGAGACCATGAGACTGACTTACCTTTACCAGAATTTGTTTTGTACAACCTATTTCTGACTGGGGAATAAACCCAACATCCTCCTTGATTGGGCAAATCTTCCTTCCTGCACTGCCCGTCCTGGCCGCACCCTCTTCTGGGTGGGGAGGTGCCACAACACTGTAAACATACTCCAGAATCTTTTGTGCTGTGGGAAGCAGGAGTTGAAGCCTAAAAGAAAAAAGAATACCTGTTAATCTAGAAATAACAAATCACATAAAATAAACTATTTGTTGTAGACACTCAGTTTTTCAAGAACAGGTTATACATACTCTGCTTTCTCTCACTTCCAAGCATGGTGCTGCTTCAAAAGAGAGCATTAAATATATTTTAACAATATTTCTCTAAAAATTCAGACAAATGCTGTTTTGCAAGAAGTGTTTGTCTGTAATGTCCCTTTTTAACCTTCACCTAAATGAATTTACAGTACTGCATTTTGAATAGTTGTCTCCGGATTTTATGTGTACTAGATTCCTATTACTACACAGTACCAGGCTTTATCAGGGAACATCTGTGTATGGGTTGTTTCAGTATTTCTCTTACATGTCAGCCAATACTTTTTCTTAAATTTCTCCCAGACCTAGCAAGTTTATAACGGACTTTCCCATATCAAATGGCTTTCCACATAATAGGATTTCTATTTCTGACCTGTGATGATGGCACATAGTACCAGTATCCCCTTCTTTTCAATGGATCTGCTATACCGGTGATGTAATCATTCTGGTATGAAAGCACATTTTTGAGCGCAGCAATTTCATCTTGTAAGCTGTCAATTTCGTCTTTGTTAGCTGTAAATTAATCACAGTTTTATAGGCATATAAGGCAAATAATTAAGTCTTAAATACTGCATTCAGCATTTCAAATGCACAGTGAAACACTACTTCAGGTAAGTTCCATCTTGCTGTTTGCTTCATATACGTAGATACAGAGAACCCACTGAAGCAACAGTGACTTAAGGACTGAATGTATCCTGTATAGGAACTATACAGGAAGGTATCCTCAACAGTTTATTCTCCCATAATAAACTTCCAGAGCTCTCAGATCAAACAGCAAGAAATATGGAAAAGAAGGTGAAGCCTTCTGTATTCATGCTTATCAGCAAGAAATGGAGATAAAAAAGAGACTACCTGTCCCAACGTTATCCAACAACCATCTTAAACGGTCAATTTCTGCTTTTTGTTGCTCCATAGCTTCATTTAATTTATCAATTTCAAACTTCTGAGAGCTCGATGCAATAGTCTTCTCACCAGCTTTCTCCATTTCATGCTGAAACTATTTAAAATATAAGTTTAAATCAAAGCAAAGCACTTCAGTCTAAGTTAGGCTGTGCTAAAACTTTTTCAAACATGCCCATCCATGCCTACTAAAATGCTCACTCAGCAAAACGCATGTACCACTTTGATGCAACAAAATTGTTCTTCCCACCCCCTCGTATGACCAAGACTTACACACACAGCCACATAAAGTCATTTAAGTTTCCTTCAAAGTCAGCTACTCCAGTCAGTAAGCTTTTCATTTTGTTCTTTGGCAGATGTCAGGGGAGGGAAGAGCATTGTGACTTGGGAAAACTTGAGGAAAAAGGGCAGGGCAGACACCTCTAAATACGGCATTTTCAGAAACTCATTGAACCAACAGATCTAAGTATTTAATCCTTCTCATATAATATAGAGCGAACATCACTGCAACCTACTTGTCCTTCCTTCTCCTTGAGGAGTTGTTGTAACAATTCTATTTCTGCTTCTGCTCTGGCAAGATCCCGAGCTGCACGAGCTGCCTCAGCACAGAACTCTTCGGCTTCCTCAATCTCCTAAAATTGAAATTTTGGTTTGAGCTTTGGTTTGCAAGAATACTTCACAAGCTTGCAGATGTCTCATGCAGCTTTGTGAAAAGCTGACTAATAAGAAGTATCAGCACTTGGCTGTTCTAAAATTCCAGAAACTGGCAAAGATTATGTAAAATCATGTTTCTCCTTTAGCTTCACAGTATTTCTACAGAGGAGGTGGTAGTATGTAGCAAAAATGGCTCCGTTTGAAAGATTGGAAGTCTAAGAACAAACTTCCATAGTCCCTTCTTTTGCTTTTCCATCTTATGTCACTATCTATTATCTATTGTTTGACTTTCAATTGATAAGACATTAAACTTGTCTCTCCCTCACCTTCTAACACACAGCAAGAAAGCCTGTCCATACCCAAATTTGCTCAGGCATTCATCTACTGTATTTCAAGATGAGACTCTGTCTGAAGCAAGAGCTCCTGTACAGCAAAACAATTCAGAATAATGCTTTGAACCTGAATTAAAAGACACCACCAGGACCGCTCCCATTATGATGGCATTAGAAAGCACTACTTATATACAAGCAATTATCAGTGTTGATTTACCTCAGCTCGCTCCTGATTAATTCTGAGAACAGTCCCGTGAAGAGCCTTTAGCTGATTTTTAGCAATGGAGAGCTCCGTGGCTGCCAGTTGATCTGAAGTGATGATTGCTCTCTTCAATTCCTTCAGTTCTTTATCTAGACTGACAAGTTGCATTTGTGCCCTGGCATCTTCTATTTTTTTCTGGAACCAGGAAAACAATAGGTTTTATAAGTTTCAAGTAAAAAGCAGCACAGACGAAAGGCTTTCTGTTGTTACGACTTTTTTCCCCACGCATATCCCTTTTTGTATTGTGTCCACAGAAGGAACAGAAAAGAAACCTAAAGCAAGGACAACCAATACAATTTAAGGAAAAGAAAGATGTTATATTTAACCTCCATGTTCTTCCTGTACTTGATCTATCTTAGAAAGCGAAATAATTCAGATGGTTTTGAATCTTCTTTTTGTGAGCACACACAGTGCATAGACTTGTCCTTACTCATTCCTACCCTTTTCTCTAAATCTTCCAGCTGAGCAAGAATAGTCTCTTTCTCTTCATCTGCCTCTTGGAGCTGTTGATCAGCAAGGCCCTGAATTTCTTCCATGCTCTTTATTTTTTCATGTAAACGTTGAATTTCATTCTCTAACTGGTGGACCTTGTTCTTATTCTGCCTGTTTTCAGCTTTAACCTATAAGAGAAATAAGTTAGAATGAGTAGCCAGAAATTTTTCAACCAAAAGCCACCCTATTTTAATGATTTACAGAAATAACTTTTTGGGAAATGCAGTTACCAGCCTACTTTGTACCAGAAGGAAAAAGAACTGCTTTGCCACTGTAACTACTACATTTTAAAAGTGCACAAGTTATTTCAATAGTAGGATGTATAACAATGTTTCAAGGAGGTTACTGGCTATATTTTTCTACCTATGATTAAATTCTTTGCTGCCTCTGAGACCTTTCATTGAGTCTAAATTCTAATTCACCAAATAGTCAGGCAAAAATCATAAAGACTATTAAAAAAAAAAATGTTACATGAACACCAAAAAGTGGGCCTCTCTTTGTTACCATACAGCTAAAATTAGAGATTGCTTGTGGAAGTTTTAATGCACATTAAACCCTTCTCCTCCAAGCAACATTTTTGCAAGCTTTATATAATAGAAGCCAACAAAAGGTTGCAAAGGACCATGTGTCCTGTCAAATACCCGATTTAACACTTTTAAAAAGAAAACAAGAATGGATGATTTCACTCCTTTAACCAGAATTTCACAGTATACACAGTATGAAAGCAGTCAATTTTTTGTTTTCCTCTTCAGACGCTTTTGCCTGCTTACATTTTCTTTATAATGAAAATTACTATGTGACTTAGATTTGTACACAATAGGAAAAATCAAAACTCTAACAATGGTTAATATTCCTGTTCTAATCATGAGTAACAGCACCCTGCTCTGACCCAAGTTGTCAATGTGTTTCTGACAAGCAAACGTATTCAATTTGTCTACCTTCAGTAAAATTCTACTTCTCCGATTGATGGAGGGTAGCAAAGCTTCCTCCCTAGTGAAACTTGATCCTTCAGCTGCAAGTTACATTTTTTAGACTAAGCTGAAATTGTCTTACTCTTGCTTTTGTTGGTTTGATACGTGCCTGCCTATATTTCTCCTGTACTTCTTCCAGATTTTCCTGCTGGGACACCATTTCTTCCTGCAATTGTCTCTGTCTAGCCCATGCTTTCTCTTTTTCCCTTTGAGCATCAGCAAGGATGTCATTAAATTCTTTCTGCAGATTCGCAAGGCTTTTCCCTAAAACATCAGCTGAATTCTGACATCTGAAAGAGAAACAATCCAGGTTCCAAGACAGAAAACAGTGATTTAAAATTGTGCTAACAGATACTGAAATAACAAAGCCTAATATAAGAGTATTTATATTTAAGACATCCCATGTAAATGATACAGGTGCAGCACTGAACACGTTATGCTACACAGACAGACCTCCACCCCGTCTCGATTTATACTATTCTGTCTTTGTTTATTACCATTCTTTGTTGCTGGGGACAAAAGGGGGAGCAGGGGGAAGTGTGCCCTGTCCCTTGCAGTGAGACCCAAGACAACTGTATATTTCCCTCAGTAACATAATTACTGAGCTTAGGTGCTGCTCCCTTAACAACCACAGGGTGCTGAAGTTCATGTCTGAACTGCCCCAAGGCGCACTGAGTAGGATGCAGCACACATACCTTGTTGCTGTCATGTACTTAGCACTTTCACATGCACAAACCTAACACTGTTTGTACTTTTATTTTACTCACTCAGTCTCTCCAACTCCTGTCCGAAGATTTTGCTTGAGTTCATTTATACGAGCTAAGACTTCCTCAGGATGAATTAAGTTGCCAACTGCATGGTTTAGCTGATTCTGAAGATCTTTAAGCTGTTGTTTCAGGAGATTATTGTCTCCCTAAAAAAGAAACAGACAAAAAAAACCCCACCCACACAACCATAAGCAAACAAAAGCACAAATGATAAAAGGTAGAATTTTTATAATACCTAGGTCTGGTTTGGGGTTTTTGTTGTTGTTGGGATTTTTTGGGGGCTGGGGGGGGTGTTGTTTGTTTGTTCTGTTTTTTTAAATAGAGTCCAAACATTTTTTTCAGTGTGGCCTGAACCAATACCAACAACAAAACAAGAACACCCCAAACAATCTTTGCCTTTCAGTTCCCTTTATGTTGACAAGTATTTAAACGCCAGTTCAAAAATGATCTTATCCTTTCCTTAAGCTAAGGAAGTACTGTCTTTACGTAAGCAAAGCCCAGTGGCATACAGAAGCCTGTCACACTATCTGTCCATAATAGAGGATGGAACAATTGCAGACACTGTCCCAGCCACTAGACCAAGGAGTGACACTTGTCCTGGCCCCACTGGTCTTGAACTCTTGGCAAGCTTCAGCAACAATGACAGTGCTAATGTCTGGTGAGGATCCTCTATAAGCTGTTCCTGAAGTGGCAAGGCAGTTGGACTAGATGTTCATTGTAGGTCCCTTCCAAATGAGCTACTCTATTCGATTCTGGTGGTCACTGTACACTCCGAGGAGTATGTGAGATAAGAAAAAGAATCTGATGGATACAAAGGAGGACTGAACCCAGCCTTCCCACAACGAGGGAAACTGCTTTAATCATGCAGCACTTAAAAAAAAAAGTTGTTTTTTTTTTTGCCAGCCATATTTTGAAGATATGAACTTGAAGATACTTGAACCCAGTATGTTACTCTTGCCTATAGAAATCCTGTTGATGGAGCCTTTCAAGCAGCTTTAGGAAAAGGAACACTCAGTTTCTAATCTCCATTAAGATGAGGCACCGATTTGTGACACTGTATTAGAGATGTTTCTGTACACCTATGCAGTTCATGAAATGCCTGTGAGTTCAAGGATCACAGGCTCTGTTGCCTATTGTACTTGGATGCCATTACTGGTTTATGGCAATTAAGTAATATTCCTCAGGATCACAGCTTTCAACAGAGGCAATAAATTCCACTTTAGGTATTACGTCAGTTTTTTCTTCTCCATCCAAATAGATTTCTTATTGACATGTACCAGATGAAGCTTGTGGGAAATTAAGATACATACAACAATTTATCAGTCCCTTTGCAATATAACTGAGCAGCTCTGAAATTATTTCAAAGGTCAATCTAAATATCTAAAATAGACAGATAAAAAGACTATGGTGTAGGGTCTCTAGACAAGAAAACTGAAGTCAGGAAAAGTCATAAATACTACAAGACTCACACAGAATCCTTTAAAATTCTCATCACTTTCTCCTTGGGGAGTGCGGAAATATGCTGCTTATCAGGTAACTTTTAAAAGGCAACAAATACTTCACCTGCAATTGTTTGAACTGAGAAAGGAGCTTATAGTTTTGTTGTTCCTTCTCTTCTGCTAGTTGTGCTTTGGTCAGAGCATTCTCTAATGCTTGCCTTTCTTTTTCAAGTTCAGCTTGCAGGGCTGACAGTTCCATCTGCAAACACAAAAAAACCTCAGATTAATATCCCACCCCCAACCATCACCCAAATACACAACAGCTATATTTCTTGAAACAGTGACAATATGACAACGCCTCCTAAAAAAACCAGCAGAACTCCAACCATCCCAAATCCAACCCATCATGTATAGGTAACAGGTATATTTCCCAAAATATTGTCATCATCATGACTTGTATTGTAAATTCTAATCTAGGCCTAGCACGGGCATGTCCGACAAGTAACCGACAGATTTACATTTTATCAGTGATCTACAGAGAGCTTTCAAGTTTTTCTGAAGCATCAAACCTAAAAGACTTGGAAGGGTTGGAGACAGAACACCACACTTTACTGTTTCACGTTTTTATTTCTGCCTGCAACCTGGAACGTGCAGTTGGAATACGTCTTGCAAAAAAACCCCACCATGCTGATTTGTGATGAATAGAAACTGAACCAAGATAGTAGTTACTGTACATCATCACCATCCACGAATCCAAATGAGGATCCCCAACAGTAAGATACAATGGGACTGTACATTGCACAAGCATACATTCTTCTTCCCCAGCAGAAAGCTACTACTTTATATGACCAAAAAAAAAAAAAAAAAGTATATTTTCTATAAAACTCTATTTCTACTACAACAAGCAAAGGCAAACTCTCTTTCACCCGCTACTTTTCAGAGTGTCATTGCTTTACTGCTATTTCTTTGATGTGTGCATGTTTATCTCTTTCCAAAAAGATGCAGATTATTACTTTTCTGTTAAATATGGTGAATATTCTTTACTGGGTCCCCGGATGATCTGCACATTGCTTCAGTGCAGTTACAAGTCCTAGCAAACTGACACTACCTTCCATCTGGGGGCACACCTAAACCAACAATTATTTGCAAGTCAGCACTGGAGACATGGTATGGAGAAAAGTTTGGTCGTCCCTTGTCCTGGGATATATCATCCCCTTGGCAATGTAAAAGCTCTGTTCTTACCTGGCTAAGTTGTTTCAATCTTTCCAATTCTTCTTTTTGCTGATTGGCTTCCATGTCTCTGTCTCTTAGCTGGGCTTCCAGTTCAGCCTCATAGGCGCTGATGTCCCCTTGTGCATCTCTAAGTGACTCATTTATTTCTCGCTGCTCTTGGAGTGCACTCTCTAGCATTGTAATTTCCTGGAATTTTACATTCATTTTAGAAACATGTACACAGTAGAGCCAGGATCTCTTAAAGTACATTGCCTCTCTTCCTCTGTTACTCAGGAACTCCTCAATCGATGTGACAGCAGACAGATCAAAACAGACACATTAACCCTAATCACTGAACACTGAAACCTAAAGCTAGGTGGCACTACCACATACAAAGGTCATGTCTGGGACAGACTGTACGAAAATCTGCACTCAAGTTAGCAAGGTGTAGCTTAAAGTAATACCAGAGACAAATGTGTGTTAAGGTTTACATAAAACTTATCAGGATAGTAAGGCAGCTCTCTAAGCAATTAGCTGATAGGACAGATGCAAGCTAATAACACACACCTCCTCAGCTAGTGCCCACAGTTTTCACTAATGCAATTCACTGTGATATTGACTGCAAATCCATTTTTAGTAACGTACGAAAGGCAAAGCCTGCATTTCCAAGACACCTTCCATAAAGTATGGACTTACTGTATGTCTCTTGCAACTGGTTTTAAAGGCCAAAGTCTGTTCTTAATGTGCATGGGCACATCTAATTGAAGTTACCATATCAAAACAATATTTTTTTTCAAGGAACTCTGCTTTGCTATTCCCAATTTGGTAATTTGCTTATTTCTTTTTCAAGTTTATTCTTAGGTATCTGAATTTTTGGGAAGAAACACAGTATTAAGCCTTACTTTTCTCATATTTTCTGCATCCATGGCAACTATTTCCAGGTTGTTTCTTTCCTCCCCCAGATCTGCCAGTCTTTGTAGCAAAGATTCTTTATCCTTCTGCAACTCCTTACACTCATCATTGGCCTGTTTTGCCTGACACTTAACACTTTCCAGGTATTCCTGTAATCCATTGATAATACTTTCTAAATCCCTTTTCAGTGCTTCATTTGTTGCTATTTGACCTGCAGAAATGCAAAACAAATTTGACATAATTAGGAAGCCACACTTAGTTATGAAACAAACAAAACTGCCCTTCTTAATCTTCTTTAAGATGTTCACCTACTGAAACACACAGTAACAAGTAGTATCTGGAACGTAACCAGAAAATGCCTATGTTGTATTTTAAAGGCTAGGAGTTCCCATAGTACTGTGTTAACCTGACCACTGGAAGAGTCAAAAAGAAAATGCAGTTCTTTGTGCATTCCCACCCCCCATTTAAGATGACATTTACTACCTTCACACCTAAGTCAATTTTGTTTCAATTTTTCTATTCATGTTCTTTTCTGGGATATTTCTTTTCACATAGACTAGGTATATGGTAAATGGACACATGAGGTTAGGTCACTGATGTCATTAAGTCAGTTTCCCAAACTCAGATACCAAATTGAGGCACAGAATGTAAGAGACACTTCTAGAGAGGCTACCATCATATGAATGAATCTCAGGCAGCTCAAGTACTAGCTACGTAACAGCTCTTTAATATTTTAGATTATTCTCTGAAGTAGAAATGAAAAATCAACATCATAAGGGTACTGAATTATTAAGACTTCACTCATACAATTAAAAGCAGAGTAATCCTTTCTTCTGCTGTGACAACAAAATCGCAGATCACAAGGTTATGTCAAGTAACCAACCACTCAGTTCAGACTTGATCAAGGGCCTTCCTGCCTTGACATTTTGATCCTGAACCCCAGAGCAACAAATCAGTCACTTAATCAAAGCAGTTGTTTGCTTCCCCCCACCTTAAGAAAAAAAAAAAAAAAAAAAGAAAGAAAATCCTGCAAACTACATCCCCTGACCACATATCAGTGAGGTGACTTAGAAAAAAAAAAATTTAAAAAAGGTACATGAAGTCTCCTTTTAGATCAGTTAAGAATAGTTTTCAACCTCTTCCTACACATTCTGTATGTAAGCACAGATAAACAAAACTGAATCCTCAATTCTATTGTCATGTTATCCTAGGCACAACAAATACTGCAAGACAAAAAGACAAATTCACCATCAGTGAGCTGTTGCTCCAAGTCCTTGATTTCCTCCGCTTCCTTAGCAATCCGAGAGAGCATCTCATCCAAGCGACTCTCAAGCTGCTTGTAATGTTTGTTCATTACATCAAACTGCTGTTCTTTACTTGATTTTTGAGCTCTCATGTGAACCTGCAAATTAAGTTGTAAAAGGTAAAGTGGGACAACAATCAATACAGATTTAAAAAGTCTAATCAGTATTCTAGCTCACTTCTGCAGTGTCTTACTACCAGCAGTGACAGTCACAAGCGCAGCACATGTTGTGATGCTTGGGGGAAGGGGACTAGGGTGGGGGTTTTTTTGGTGGTTTGGTTTTTTGGGGGTTTTTTTGGTGGTTTTTGTTTGTTTGGTTGGTTTTTTAATATTTCTCCTCATTAGTACCCCACAAAGAATCCCAGATAGGCAAGCAATCTGTGTGACTAACAGCACCCTTAGCAGTCTCCCCCTTGCCCAGGCATGATGAATAAGGCCTGCATTTATAAACTCTTACTCATGGCTGCTACCTTTCTTCCTGCCTTTCCTTTTTGTTACACCATTTCCAGTTTCATTCAAGAACAAACATGATTTCCTCCAGAAGCTTTAATCCTGTCATCCTGCATTGCCTTCACAGCAGATGATGCTTTAGAACGTGTCAGGTCACCACCCGAAGGAAAATCCTCTGAACAACCAGAAAGTCAGGCAAACTTTATAGCTAAGGCTTACTTAAGGCAGATTTTTTTTTTTTTTTTTTTAAATATTTCTGGGAAATACACCGTACCCACAGCTAACACAGGCTTTGGGCAGGGCTTCAGGCATTTTGTAGGAATTTAGCCGATTGTTTCGGCTGTATTCAAAACTTGGTTATCAACACATTATACTGCTGTTTCCCACTGGTATGAAATTACTCACAAATTACTCAAATGTCAGAAAACTTAGAAAAATACAGAATTATACTGTCACGATAAACAGTGCCTTTTTCTTACTACTCAAACAAATAAATCGAGCTAGCAGTAGAAATTTTAAATACAAGTTCTCAGAAAAATCACTTATAAAGTTGCTTCTATAATAAAAGGAATGGGTAAAAGCATAGCTTTCTGTATTTTTAACGCATGCAGCCGGAAGTTCTTCCTAACATCCACGTTAGTACAATTCAACCGGTCACCTCGTTAAAGACAAACTCCCTTCGGCTTTCAAAAGTGAAATTTCAACAAGTAAAAGCCCCAGCAGAGGCGCCGCCGCTGAGTCATTTTGCTGCGGCTGCTGAAGAGCGCGGTTTAACAAAAAAAGAACCCACCCCGACACTTACAGCTCTGCCTTTGTTTTTTCTTCCTTCGGGGTCATTTGCCAAACGCCCCGGCACCGATCTAGAGTTCATGTGACTGAAGAGCCGGTATCTTCAGC